ATGATATGATTTGAAGAAGCTGCAGACTTATTCATTGCAAATCATAAATTTGTTCTAACACTTATTTGCGAACGAAGGAGACTTGGGATTTGAATGATATGTCTAAGTTTATATATTTTTGAACCATGCACGCGGTGGAGTTGGGCTTGAGACAGGATGAAAACGACTAATGCCCTTCCTCACACAAGGACTTGACATTCACGAGGGATTTGTAGATTGTGAACTGTGATGTTGAGTACGGTTGATCTGATACAACCGAGGTAGTAGCACAAGATTCAATAGACCGTCAAATTTGTTTTTTTTTTGAAACAAAATTCATGCATTGAAAGATGGAAATAACATCGATGCAACCTTACAATGCAAGATATCTCACAACCTCTTCAATTTATTTTGATCTGGATCTCATGTTTTGCTCCTGTCTGCGTGCGTGTGCTGAAGTTCAAAACAAGACCAACTTGTTAATTGCTTGCATTTTCATTCAGTTGACGATCACACACTTCTTCATTGCTACAAATCTCCAAAGGTGACTTCAAAACAAAGTTGTAGTAGCAAAGCAGATTGGAAGAATGAATATGCTTGATGGACTAATTGATTGATAGATTGATTAATGAAGCAAGTGTGAATTCGCTGCTTCCTTTTCCCGGATATCAATTTTGTTACAACATCTTTTGTCATTGGAGTCTTGATCTAAAGCTTGGTGTATGAAAAATTGTGATCTCTCTCCCACTTGTTAAAAGTGACGCAATCGTCAAACAAATCTATAAGCCTGGCCAACTCCAACGTGATAGCTAATTTTTTTTAAGTTCACAACTAAAACTCTCTGCTATCAACAACTTTTACTAGAAATTCATACTCAAACAAAAGATAACGAATCACTCTAATATCAATTGTTGGGCAATATTTGTAGAGTTAGTCAAACAAACATACAAAAAATCATTCACGTTTTATTTCACAAAAACATTTATTGTGTTTGAGGCAATGAGATCATGCTTTCAGTCTTAAATAAGCCATTACCATTGAAAGCTAAAGATCCGATATCTTGAACCCACCGTCATTGACAGCATGTCACAAACAATGATGATACTTAATACTTGGAAACCATAAGATTTGTGTTAACTTTCAAAATGTTCATGAAAAATAAATCTAAGATAAAAATTCTAATTAAAACAGATAACTCTATATCATAATAAATTTTTTTAATAGTATAAAAACTCAAAGAATCTATTAAATATATACAAAATGCCAAATTTATTTCATGTGTTTAGCTATCTCTCAAACTAAATTATAAATATGAATTTTATAATTCAAAATTATTACAAATATTATATGTTCATAATCTGATGTTGATTTTATTTTCAAATGTATGATATCATATCAAGTATAACTTCATCATGAATCATATATTTCACAATAATAAAATATTTCAAAAAAATAACATTTAAATTTTATATATACATATAATCATCAATTGAATATCATATCTTTATAAAATTTTCAAATTTGATCACATTTGACATATATCTGCTCAATGGTATGCTTTTTACCACAACTTTTATATTAAAATACATATCTCCTTGAAAAGAAAATATAAGATATATTATTTATTGTTAATATTTTTTTATTTAAATATGATTGTGTTTAAAATTTTTGTGTTTTTTAACATGTTTAGAATGGTTTTACTAAATTTACAATTTGAATTTTTCATCTGAGAGATCTCACAATTCAATATCTATGTTTTGAAAATGTTACATATCATGTTTTATTAACAAATTAAAAATGTATGTTTTGATAAACAAGAATTACACTATTGCATAAAAGAATAATATAATTTTATTTATTTTCAAAAATATCATATATTGTGATTAAAATAATATTCGATAAAAATTGATTATTTTTTCCCTTTAGTCTTAATCTATTGAAATTTTTTGTGCATTGGGCTGAATGTAATAGTAAAATGATATATTTTTCATCTTATTTGCATGATGAATGATCTTATATGATGATAGAATAATGGTAAAAAATAGAGTGCAGATTTTTTTTGCATAATTTTTAACATCTAGACATTAATTTTATTGTGACTGGTATAAAATTTATATTGGAGAAAAAATCTGATGTCATGTTATATCAATATTACATTTTTTTGTAATAATTTATTGTACATGATACCCATCATGGCTTTAGAGTTTCAAATCGCTCTCATTGTCTTTGTATAGTGATATTTTATAAAATAGAATTAAACCTAATTTTTTATAATTTTTTTGAGACATTGATATAAGTTGAAATATTTAAAAAACAAATACTTAGCGTGTTCAGCATTCATAACATAACTTCTCTTTTTTGTGGTGAAAACACATTGCTACAATGTTGTTTGACATTCTGTTTGATTTTAGTATTAGTCTATACATATTCATTATAGTAAATAGATCAAGCCCATTGGACCCAAAGGATCAAAAGGCTGAAAAACCACAAACAAGGTAACCTAAAGATCAATCCCTAGCTAGTGCCAATAGCACTAGAGGGATGACGTCACTAATTATAAGCTCAAAAATTCAACCCTGAAGCGTATACAACTGGAGGGGTATAAATTCCAGATGTGAAGAACTTCAGTTTGAAGCAATGCTTAGTCTTGTAGGATTTGGAGAAGATAGAACTAGAGTCCAACTCTTTTAAAGCTTTTTTTTTTTTTATTAAAAAAACTGCGCTTTTAACCGTTCAAGGCTCGTGAGGGATCTATATGGAGAAGCCTTTTACCAGGAGGTCCGAATTTACATTCTATTTTCCTAGAGAACCTTGCAGATACAACCCAACTTGGAAAAGTCAAATAACCTGAGGAGAGACTGGATGCTGAACATGATGTCTCTAAGCAACCCATCCTGACTGAGTTCTTCGTTGCAGGCTCAAATCGAGTGAAATGGAGTCTGACGTAATAGGAATTTACATTCTCACAAAAAAATTATACATCCAGCTAATTGGTCCTCAAATTTTTCTTAGAATGAAGGATGTGAAGTGGTGTTAAAACTTTCAATCAGCGAAGTTTCTTTAAAACCCTTAATAATTAGAATCAAACACCGTAATAAATAGTCAAGAGGATTGGAGACAAAGAGGATATATGGATAAATGATAGTAAATTTCTCACTGCGCTGGAGCTACTACAGTAGCTTGTTTGGTCATCTCGGCTGCAAGTGTATGTCGGTGATATAGAAGAATAACAGATCATGGAGCAAGATTCAGCATAACAAGTTTAACTGGGATAAATTAGAAAACTAAAGATTACATGGTGAAAAGCACAAGCATACAGGACAACGCATTACACACAACTCTGAAACGGGTCAAGAGTTGTACAGATGTCTCTCATTCAGCTTTAGGGGTGATAGCATTATCTGATAAGGCCAAATTATATGCAAAGTATGTCATGGTAGTCGAAGCAAAGCTCGACGGTGTTTTTAGAGATTGTACCCTATGTAGCGGCCAGGTCACTGATGTTACTTCCAGGAAGTTGAAGAAAAGCTCTGGCTAAGGTCATTAAAGTCAATGAAGTTGGCCACAAGAGGAAACGAATAATACTTTGATTCTACGGAAGTGCTTATATGGTATTAAACATGTGGAGGTTTAATGTTTAAAACGTGGAGGTTCCAAGAAGGGAGCAGCGAGTGTAAAAATTCTAGTCTTCAGCTATGTTCGTGAATCTATCTTTCGTTAACATGTATAGTAAAGAAGTCCTCGGCTAAGCTCCATGTCTGTCATAATATTAGATAAATTACATGAATACCAAATATTGAATAAGATTGACATTCATCCAGTATTACAAAAGTAATTGAAAAACAGGATTATTGGTAGAGGAGAGTCAACACATCGTTTTGAACGACCTCACATCAAAGGACGATAAGGTAAAACGATGCGACTAGCACTAACCGTGTAAGTTGTAATGACATTGAACTAGTTATTTCAAAACTATGTAAGAATCTGACAACAATACTGCATTTATCTTTGTGATAATGTATACAACGCGAATGTGGGAGATGGTTTTGAAACATGTAGAACTCCAGAATGAGGCGATGCTGTCAACTTGAAGCTTCTGAACTGGGAGGAAATCATGGTATACTTAAAGTGTGTTCATTCTCATTCGCAAAGCATGTTCGTGACTCGATATTAATATCTTTGTATTATGTTTGGGGGTTGTCGGGTTATGTTATTGGGTTTTGCAATTCTCGCCAAAGAATGTAAAATTCGCAACATTTGGAATAAATGTAGAAGGCTATCGGAGTCTATAGAACGTGCAAGTAGAGGTTCATCATTCCACCCATCATTCAGTGAGGCCACCCGAAGTTTGGAAACGATCGATTAAACTTGGATGAATGAAGCAGCCTTGAAGACGAGCATATCTCATAGAGCTCAAGTTGACATGGGACCAAACTCAAAACCGAACGAAAGTAGGCGATGGAAGCAGCGACTTTTGCTGGAATCAAACCCGAGCAGGTCAAATTTAGAAGCAGGCACATTTTGAAGGTGAAGACGAGATGAGGACACGGAGAAGTCTTTATCATGATACGGCACACGGACTTCCATCCGTCGCTTTCCCCAGATACCAGTTGCGCCGCATTCATTCAGTCATTCATACGTTGACATTCATCCAGAGATTACAGTCGCAGTGCAGTTCAATGTATGCGATGGGATGGGGACGGAGGGAGGGGGGTGGCCATGTGGTGGGTAGAGACTAAAGAGGCTCGAGTTCGAATTACAGCTTGAAATGCTATGAGCAGGAAGTCGTACCCAGTGGGGTCTCCTGGGCTAGGACCCGTCTCCGTCCGTTGAATAGGAAGCCTTCGTAGGGGGCGAGCCGCGAATGTGCTGCGTTGGGCTCGAGTCTATCTGAGAGCCCTGTCATAGACACCAACGGATTGGCCGAGCGAATGGAACGTAGGTCATGCAAGTTGACATACCGTATCAGGAACCAGGACAACAAGGGAACGGCAGGTCTTTGGACGTGAATCTTTGCTCCTGTCCACTAGTGCAAAATGGATAGAAAGCATCGAAGAGTTTGAGAGAGGGCCAGGCGCCCCGAGAGCATAAGTGAAAATTTGGCAGGAGGAGGAGGAGGAGGAGGTCGGAACACGAAAGAACATAACAGGTCAAGGTATGGCTGGCGGCCCGTTCCTGAGGGTCGGGAACTTCGAAAAAATCCCCGGTTTTAAACCGCCTGCAATGTCGAGTCGTGCAATGTGATAACACACCACCCCTTGCCCCTCGTCAACCTCCTCGAGCGCCAAATATAGCGAGACCACATACATGTGTGTCCGGACAGACGATGGATGGATGATGCGCCGAGGCGAACGAGGGCCAAACCTTGACTAATTCAGATGCCCTGGAGAAATCCGCTGCCACGGTCTTCAGAGAAGCTGGACAGCGATTGGAATACGTCTCTGGGACGGGAGACGCAGGCAGGCGACGGTACGGTTGAATCGAGTCAGTCGGGCCAGCGACAGCTATGGCGGCGGCTGCAGTCGTCACCGGCAGCGGATCGGATGATACGAGCGCTGAGTTGGAGCTGATGGAGGGCTCGCGCAGCGAGGACGCTCCGAATGCCGCCGCGAGGACGGAGCCCAGGCGCCCATCGCCCGTCGGCCTCCCCCGCTTGCTCCCGCGGTGGGCGATCCGCGCCTGCCGGACCGAATCACGCCCGCGGCGGGACTCCAGGACCGGCCGGGCGGCAGCGCTGGAATTCGTACGTACGTGTGTTGGGCGGACCGATAGACGGTGCGCATCGACACACGCACGCAGTGCAGCGGCAGGCGTGTAGAAGGGGCCGCGGTGACGGAGGGCGCCGCATGCAGTGCAGTGCCGAGATGCGGATGCCGCATCGCCGAGATGTATGTTTCTGTACGCCTGGGACTTTTTCCAGACCTTTCCGACGCCCGGAGCGACGAGTCTGCGCAACGCAACGTCGGGAGCTGGCGCTGGCGCGAGCTCGCGGCGAGCGACGGAGCAGGGAAGGGAAGCGGACGGGGTTCATGCCAGCATCCGGAAGCGGCAAGTGCCATGAGTCCGGGCGGTCTTGCAGGGCGATCTGAGCTTGCAGTGTGGAGTGGAGCGCAGGAGGAAAAAGTGAGCCTCGGCATGAAGTAGTGTGCAGCAAGCTACGTGTTCCGCAGCCGCTTCCTTGATCGTCACACTTCTCTCACGACCGGCCCCACCGAGCAGCGCCGGTCTCTCTTGCAATTATAGTAAACGTCGTTCTTCGTTCCTCGGCTCCAGTCCGTCCGCATTCCTGGCCCGGACTCCGCTCCCTTGTGCGAGCCAGCGCCCTCCTCCGGCTTCGACTCCTTTGGTCTGAGCCGCTTCTTTTGCCCCTGCCCCCATTCCGTCCCCTCTCCACTGCCACTTCCATCTTTCTCGAATCTGGCCCTCGAGCCTCGAACAGCCCCAGTACATAAGCAGGCCTGCAGGGCGGCTTTCCATCTGTCTGTAGTCTGCCAGGCTCCGCATCGTCACGACCGGCTTTCTCTCCTTCTTTGTTTCCTCCCGACTGTGTCCGAGAGAGAGAGAGAGAGTGTGTGTGTCTTCGTGTGAGGGTCTGACTGTGGGCGCGGGCGTGCACGGAGCACGACGAGAGGTGTCAAACCCAGTCTAGAACTAGTACCAGCACTAGCGCGTACGGACCTGGTCCGATTTCATCATCATCATCATCTTCTTCTTCTTCTTCATCTTCTTCTTCTGCTTCATCTTCATCATCGTCGTCATTTTCTGTCGTTGTCGTCGTAGATCGACATTCAATTGCCTGCGAGGCTAGAGGGAACCCAGTTCAGTTGGGGAAGACTCAAGTTACCGATACTCACGATCGAAGGTCTACGAAGCTCCAGAGATTTCGTTTCTGAATCAGTACTTTGCGTTGCTCAGCTTGCCCGGCAGTTTTTCTCGAGAGAAAGAGAGAGAGAGAGAGAGAGCTCGAGAGCGATAGAGTGAGACTTGTCTTTCTACAGGAAGTCTGAGGAACAGATTCCGGCGACTGCAACTGTCCAACCCCTCCCTTTTGCCCCCACTTCAGTCGAAAATATCGTCGAAGACAGAAGAACATATTCATCCGGGGCGAGTGTCACATCGACATCCGCTTGCTCTCTGTCCTCGTGTCTGTATGTGTGCTCGTTTGTACATGTATATATGATTTCCCACTCCTCAGCTCCCTTGACCACCGACCGATAGGATTCGTCAACCATCAATCATCATCATCTGCATCCGCGAGCTCTGTACCATATACTCCATACTTATACATATATATACACATAGCATATATGTATCTCCCGTATACCTTAACCCGAATAAACAAACTATTGGATTTGTATATACTCAGCCACATCAATTATCAGTAGGTCGTGCCGTGCCTTCGCTCGGAGGAAGGTGGAAGGAGGCCCTTGTATGTGCTCGGGTCTGAGCCAAGTGTGTGCGAGCGTGAACTGTTGATATAGATCCAGCGAGCGGCACTAGTGAGTGCAGCAGGACGGCGTCATCTGCTACCAGTGTAACCAGAAGCAGCGGGCCACGATGCCGGATGACATAGCGAACTATAATTTTCAGGATTTCTGTACTATACCGAAGGTGGAGGTGGTGGACGAGCGCGATGACGGCAGCATCATGGGGTCACGACTGCCACCGGGTTTCCGATTCCATCCGACGGACTTTGAGCTGGTGGATTACTATTTGACGATTAAGGTCAAGAACAACCAGTGCCATTTCGAGGCGATCGATGAGGTGAACTTGAACAAATGCGAGCCCTGGGATCTGCCCGCCAAGGCCAAGGTGGGCGAGAACACCTGGTACTTCTTCAGTCTGCGCGATCGCAAGTACCCCACAGGAATGCGCACGAATCGGGCAACCGATGCCGGCTACTGGAAAGCCACGGGAAAGGATCGGGAGGTCATGACACCAAACAACGACAGGCTCGTGGGCATGAAGAAAACTCTGGTTTTCTACACAGGCCGTGCTCCCAAGGGCGAGAAGACGAATTGGATCATGCACGAGTACAGAATCGAGGGCGAATCGTCTCCTGTCACGGAGTGGGTTGTGTGTCGAGTGTTCAAGAAGAACGCTGCTTGCCGCAAGAGCGCCATGGAATGCCATCCTGGTGGGTCTAACTACCAGCTGGAACTCGATGAGCCCGAGGGCAATTTCGATCATCAGGCGGGCACGTATCTGCCAGCTCTTTTGGACTCTCCGGGCCATCATCATTCCCAGCAGGTTCCGAGTTCTCACAAGCCCGGTTACGGAGGCTTCAGCGGCACTCCTAGCTCTGCCGAGTACCATCAAGGAGGCGGAGCTACCTATCATGCTCATCATGAGTTTGAACAGCAGCAGCAGCAGCACGACTTAGGACAGAAATTGCAGAAATCGAAAAGCTTTAGTCTCGCCGATTTCAGCACTTTCACCAACTGGGCTGTGAGGAGGGACATGCAAGTCGCTGACACTCTCGAGAATCTGGTGGGAAACTGGGACGCAGCAGGACCGGAGTCGTCAAATAATTCGGAGGAGTGGATCTGGGATCCTCCAGCAGGTTAAAACCTCTTGTACATTTGTAAAAAAAACTTTGCCCTCCTATCTGCATGAAAAGTCATGATTCAAGGCTTGATCCAAAAACCTCTCACCACGTCGTCTCTGACGACCGGCCCACTCAGCCCAGGCCATGCCATCTGCAGCTCTGGGTGCATGATCGTTGCTGTCAGGACGTCGGCTGCGATTCAAGATGTTGTTGTTCAGGATCAAACAACGATCGAGTTCATCGAGAACAACTCTTGGATTCTATTGTTTCTGCGGCCTAACTTCCTTTCTGGCATGGTGGCTTGCACGTGCTACGCGGGGGATCGATAGGCTCTGAAGGCCCTCAAAGGGAGATGAATTGGTGTCAACGCTTGCCACCATATCATCTCATGGTGAGATCTTGGACGGTTTATTTCTTTGTACATTTAGCAGCAGCTCGAGGCCGAAAGGGATCAGTAATGAGCAGCTGTTCGGTCACGCGTGTTCACGCGTTGACTACTCAGGAATGCATATCAGCGGTTCGGTTCGCTCGACGGCTGCAAACACGAGCTTCAGCAGAACTGGCCTAAGATCTACAGGACACCTGCCTTGACAATTTCTTCGTTTCCCACACTGCCCTGCACTTCACAGCACGCTACGGCTCCCTTGCGAGTCAGTTCAACCACTTGTGCTCAATGACGAACGTGGTTTGAAAGGATTTCACACTGGACGATCTTTTCATGAAAAGATCAGAAGGCTTAGTGCTGGATTTCAATTTCTCGATCGTGCGTTGATTGTTCGTGGACTGGTCATGCAATGTCGACGGCCGGGCGCCACCAGTCTTTCTCCAACTCTCGACTTACTTCATTTGATGATACAGTGTACATAAAATTGGATTTATTCATTATCCGGATCAAAGCAGGTCTGCTGCGATCCAGGCTCCTTCCATTAGATAGTCAGCACTACTCACCTAGCCAGCCAGATTCAGTGTCTCAGATTCATAGATAGGTAGATAGTTAAATGTACAATTGACGCTGTCGCCCGGCGTGTTCACATAGATTGTTCAGCCCGGAACCAAATGGTCTTCATGTAGGTAATTATAGACGACACCCAACTGCTGGCTAGGCGCTTACTGCTTGTAGATACTTTGCTTTGCCTTTTGTACACACTTTGACACAGTGACGATCACCTTTTCCATGGTTCTCCGGAGAATAACTAGTACAGTTTGGATTGAAGATCCCGCACCGACTTTCCAATCCTAACTTTTACTCCATTTGTCTATAGAGAGTCTGCTGCAATGATGCTGCAGATTTCTTCAGCTCTGGTATATTAATATCACAGAATATATTGACCTACGTATGTTTCTATATAAATAAACTGCCGATCTCCACAGTTTCATACCTGATGGTACATCTGGCCAGCCGTATTTAAGTTTATTTTATTGTGACGTCCAATGTTTGATTGTATGGATAATTCGTTAAGTTTTCTGTCTTGTGCCTAGCGAGGCATTGCGATTATGCTATATGCTATATCTTTCAGGATTTTTCGCACTAGATCTCTCTCCTTCTGTGGATCTGAAGGATTGCCAGGTCCGAAGATATATCTTATCTGGGTGCTTTAAGAAATTGCGAGTGCGATCATTCATCGATACCAGCATATCGACGATTTTGTTCGAGTCGACTACCTCGAAATCACATCGATGGAAATGTTGGCTGACCCCAGAACCTCATGAGATACGTTCGATTTTCTCATTGTCACCTGATTGAGAGAATTCCTGATGTTTTCATGATCACGACGTAATTATGGATCACAGAGATTTGAATGCAGGCAAGTCAGTTGATGATACATCATCGCCTAGCGCAATACACACCTGCAAAATCACAGTCGATCCCCTAATGCATTCGTTCGTTCCTTACACCATGAAACAGGCAAATCTTCTTTGGTCTGCACATGTTCAGAATGTCATTTATCGGCCAAGATTAGCGTGACAATCCAAGCACCGGGTTCAGCCATGCAGTTGCGCTGTAATCGGCCGGGGTCCGATGCTCGCTCACTGCCTCACGTGTCTGCAAGTGCTTGGTTGCTAATTTTTGACAGTTTCATGCTTCATCTCGATCTTACAAGCCTATTTTGAGCGCATCGTTGTCAGCAAGACCTCTCATCAACGCAGCAGCAATTAAGAAGCCGAAGTGTGCACACAAGCTGCTTCGTAGGCGATTTTCAGTGTCCGGCTGCGTAAGCTTTCTTCTTGGCACTGTAGGCCTGCCGTATGGAGTACTGTATCGGTGGCTCCAGGTACTTCTTTGCGCAGGCCTTAGTGGGGAAAACCTTCGTCTTCAGCAAACTCGTTCTTCAGCTCAAGTCATCTAACTTGCCTGGTGGGTCAGCTCAGACACTGTCTCGGTCACGCACTGGTGAGGCCAACTCAGCAATACAGCTTCCCGGAGAGACCCCGTCCATGGTTTCTATTAAGGGCTAAATCAAATGCTGAAACCTCGTCTCTCCTGTGAGCGACTACGTCGGATTACGGAGACCACGCAGTCAGAACCGCAAAAGTCTTAACCACGTTTTGAACGGAAATTTTCCTCTAAACTCGCCCATGACCCGTATGCCGTTCACATCGAAGAGCAGCAGCAACTGCAGCTTCCTACTTTTCGCTATTATTAAATTGTACCGAGATTGATTCCTGTTGAAGAGTACCGGTTGAGGAGACTCGGCTGTAGAGTCTGCTTTACTCTGGTTAGGATGTGGTTTGGTACGTAAAGGTTTTCTCTTTTTCAACGGCAAGGCCGTTAATGGCAAAGTTGACCTTCTGCTCCAAAACATAAATATGTCGACCACAAAGTAAGATTCCTGGTGCACAATCCGCTGCAATTTGCCGAGTGGAATATACTGGACCTAAGCACTAGGCCTCGACTTGGACATTTGTGCAATGAATGAATGAATGAATGACTGAATGAATGAATCATCCAATCACCGGAGCATTGTGCTGAGATTGGCCCAGTCCCTCTGAAGGTGCAGTATGGTCCGGGCTTGCCTGAGAAAGAACAACTAGATGCCCCGAGATACGCAAGCCCTCGGTGCTCTCAACGCCAAACTTGGGTCGACAATGAAACTCATTCTTTTCACTACCGCCTTGATATGATGGACCCAGACTGAAGAACTTGGTAGCGAACTCCAAACCTCGGGTTGATCGGCTGTTATCAATCCTCTTATAATCTGCAGGTGAACCCTGTTTGAAGCTTTCTCGTGGATTAAAAAAAAGAAGAAGAAAAGGTTTAGGCCCTTTTCTTCCGAATCACATGTGAGTGATGGACTCGAGCTATATCCAAAGAGGGGATTGTGCTGTACAGAAAATTGAAAAGGAAAGTAACGGGTCCAAACGACTTCGAGATGAGAGCCCCGGACTCAGGTGCCTTGCATGTGAACGGTTTGTGAGTCCGACTCCTTTGTGGCCTCTTTACCCTTTCTTTTGAAACGGTACGTGACTCTCTTCAGTAGCATTGGGGAGCACGCACAGGCGAGTCGCCGATCACAAAGAGCTGGAAGCTGGTTAATATAATGGTTCCAAGATAAATGTCAGGTCTAGAAGATGCTGGAGAAGGCAGTAGATTTGCCATCAGCATCCCGGACGAGGGAGCACCCGGATTTCAAATAATCGTGGAGATGCTCGTAGACACGACAAGTGCGCATTCGCACGAGGTTTTTACCTCGACGGAAGAGGAATCCCCGAGGGTCTTCTGGTCTTGTCTGGTCTTGGTGCGCAAGGGTTCCTCCTCCCCCCCCCCCCCCCCCCCCCCCCCTCCTCCTCCTCCTCCACATAGCGGAGCTCATGCAAGTCGACCTTCAAGCGAAGGTCGATAAGTGGATGGGTTCATGCGCATATCACATCACAATCGGGTCGGGATATCACAGTAAGGTTCGACGTCCAGTCGTCGTCCATCGTCTTTTCTATTGTTTGATACTCGCTAGAGTCTTTTTAGCATCACACAATCCTCGCGATGAAAATCACTATACCAGCACCTTCAGCAGCAGCAGCAGCAGCACTGTCTAGGATCAGTGAACGTTGATCGGGAACTCGTTCCCTCGACCACCAGCCTCCTCCTCCTCCTCCTCCATGTCTCCATCGGCCTTTGGCCCAGGGACCAGAACTGCGCGGTTAGTCGGGACGTACTGTACAGGGATGGACCTACGGTGGCGGTGCTGTAGGCAGGACGAAGAAGACAGTCGCAGTACAGTACAGGAAGTAGCGTGCACTGCGGAGGGGCAGCACCGGGTCCGGAGGAGGAGCCCGGCCGAGCCCGGCCCGGCCCGGTCCGGCCAGCGACCGGGGGTACCGTTACTGTAGAACGGGTCCGTCTGGGTCACGTTCGTTCGAACTCCGAGGCTGCGAGCTGCTTTCTGCATGTCTTCCACCGAAGAACCAGATCTGTGTACGCAAAGAGGCGTCGAGGGAGCGGCGGAATGTGGCGATGGCGAACAAGCGACCGAAGGCCGGGCGAGCGCGGGCGATGCTGGGGTCAGCCTGCACGAGCCGGAGCCGCGCGGCCAGGTCGGATCGGAGGCCCCAGAGCGGGCGAGATAAGATGCTCACGCTAAGCATCTCATCTCATCTCATCGCATCGCATCTCGTCGCGTCGGCAGGCCACCTTCAGGCCACCGGCAGCAATGCGTCGAGCCGCGCAGCTGCTGCCCACAGAGCGCTGAACGAGGCTGAGACTCAGGCGAAACTTGGTCAAGGGCGCGGGGGAAAACATTCAAAATCCTTCGGGCCGGTTGTTCTAAATTCTTCGCGCTCCGGGTCAACCTCTAAGATCTGGTACGTACTGCGTCCCAGGACGCACTACGTACTATTGCCAGCTGTGGTGAATATGAAATTCGGGGCATACGATCCCGATCGAAGCCCGGCATGATTGCCCAATCCATAGAATAGCAGCACAACATGTGGCACAAAGCAGCAACTGTGAAGCCCCATGGCGACTAAACTGGGCAGGGCCGGGCGGGCAGGGCGGGCAGGGCCGAAAGTCGCAAGGTTTAGTGCTGGAATAGTGAGGCCGCGAACTTCAGCAGCCGAAGAGTGAGACAAGCGACGAGGGATCCCGGCAGGCCTCGAGCGAGGCCTGGCCCTGCAGCAGGAATTCTCGCCAACAGGCGCATCTGATCGGCCAACACGACAAACGCCCATCGCCCAGCATGTGGACCGGCAGCTGCAGGCACCCGGCGCTAGTGCGGCTGGCCGCAAAACGTGTCGTGGGTCTTGCAAACTGGGCGTGAATCTTTGGACCTGCGCACAATTTGTGAATCCTCCTCAGGCTATCCGCTCGCGAACTGTTGCAGATAGACCAGGCCGGGACTGTGCGCCTCGTTCCGCCGGTCATCGATGCCGTCGTCCGGCGCATCCTGTAGGCGGTGTAGATGTTCCTCTTCCAAGGACCTCGGGGAGCGACGACCCAATTGCATCACCATATCTACTGCTTCGAGCATCTCGGCGCTTCAGAGCGCGCCAGGCAGCAGCTTACGCCCTTGTTTTCCTGACGGGATCCCGCATCGCCCAAGGTCTCAGGCGTAATTGCCTCGGAGACGAGCGTCTCCGCAGCTTCGACCCTCAGAATTTGCTGCGGAGGCCCTCGTACATGTGGCTCCCTCAACAGTGGGTAAATATAGGCGCTCTAGCCGATCATCGTCATGATTAGAGGCTCTGGGGCTAACGTGAACGCGGTCAAGGATCCGGGGTCAAGGGTCAATGGCCGGGCTCCCGAGCAGCGGCATACTTAGCACATGATTAAGTTGATTTCATGTCCTGGACGACCCGATGGATGGATCGCTCGGCCTCAAGCTGCTGCTGCTGCTGCTGCTACTACTTCGACGTGGCAATGCAATGGCTACCTGGTTCTTCCAAAGGATGCTGGCCTGGATGGTCTGGACTAATGCTTGAACACCTGAAGTAACGGGGACCCGACCCGACCCGACCTGGGACCACAGCACCCATCAAAAGCAACAATCTCACAGGAACTTCCATTGACGAGCTCATGGTGGTCAAGAGCAGGAGCAAGAGCCCGAGTCGACCTCGGGTCCCAGGCTATGTAGCTGTCCTTTCCAGAAGTAGTCGTTGGATATTACTGCCCAGGCAAACTTCAGACTGACTTGTGTCATGGGCACAAACAATGACCATGAAATTAGCCGAGTCTAACAGCTGTCGACAGACCAGTTAGCACGAACTGCAGCCACACCATCCTTGGCTTCAGAATAACAGCAGTCGCGAAATAAAATCTTAGGATGCAAATCTCTCGATCCGGAACCATCCAGAATCGGCATTTAGTTCGTCCGATCCTGAATGAGATTTGCGAGCTGATGCTGCTCGGGCGCAGAAACCTCAACTGTCCACAGACAAAACAAAGGCTTCCACCGGGCCAAAGCCACGAACTTGGTCTGGTAATCCGAAGCGCTTGCAACTGCGCCACGTTCTGTACGGGGACTCTACATTGACACAAGCAATGTGATTTTTTCACTCGGATCCAGTTTACCATTTTACCTCCAGATCTACCTCCTTCGGACAGAACCATCCGTCGAGCCCAATTGTAACGATCGATTTTCAGTACATTAATTACTAAAGCAGGTGAAGTCATCGCTGTAAGCCAGGCGTTCATATTCAGACTATATCATTTTCGGAGGACTCGACGCACTCAACGGAAGCTCGAAGGACTGTCGCATCTCAGTCTGGACTTCCCTTGTGCAGGTTACATGAACTGTCACACACCGCTCGCAGGTTTGGCCTGCAGGGGTTCTAGCGGAGAACCCCATCACCATTTTGGGTCCCTGGCACTGGTTACTACATCCTGAAGCTTTTGCACGAGAAGTGTCCTACCATTACACGCATTTCCATGTGGTGTGAACAACCGTATTGGTTCCAAGCGTTAACGTATGAGGAGAATCAAGTCAAGTGACATCTATTTTTGCAAACTGATATTATTTCGATCCACATCCGTTTCCACGTGCTGGGAAATTTCTCTCTTGACCTGAGGCCCGAGGGCCGGGAGTTGGATAGGTATGATTGTCAGAGTTGTCAAACTTTTTCATCGAAGCAACGCTAGCAACTCCACAGTGGCCTAAGCCCAGCCGCACAGGAAGTGTGAATGTAAGCGAGTACATACTATAATCTCGCTCAGAAGATTCGTCCGCGGACCTAGAAAGTCTAGCTACCGCTGCATAGATGCGTCAAACGTGCGGTCTCGAAAGTTGCTGGTCTAGAAGGGTGGAGAATTCAGATCGACCCACAAATCTGTTGCAAAATTTCAATAGTGAGTTCCTCGGGCCCTGAAAATAGCAAAGTGTACAAGTTCAGTGGAGTCGCACACTGCTACGACTCAAAAAGCAGCTGCACCAGAGAACCCGGGAGCGCATGAATCCGTCTTCTCATGGGCAAAACATCGATCAAGACAGGTACATGTTGAATAGATTTCTAGATTGATTGAGACTGTAGCTCTAATGTTCCGGGCTGGAACTGCTACAACCACACTGCCTTCTCTTCCTGAACTTGATGACTCGCCACTGCCCACTGACGACTGACATAGTGCTCTCACCGAATACTTTTTATGCAGATATGCTCATCTCACGATTTCGTACCACAGTCATTCTAGATCTCCCACTGCTCTCATATATATGTATATTATATAAATATGCTGATCTCACGAGTCCGCAGCAATGCTTTTCAAGATCTTACTAACTCTACGATCCTGCCCATTCCTCTCCGCAGAATTCCCACGAAGTAACTGTACATGTTGAATGTCTGGTCCAGAAATCTGAGCATCTCTGCTTTACTTACAACCTTCTTCCACGTGATAATCATTGCATTGCGAAACTGTTGTCTTGACCTTAGAGGCGAAAGTTCTGGTATGATTAGCGACAAGTTAAAAAGAGATGGTATCAGGATAATGCATTAATTCAATTCAGTCCGAACGCAAACCCACAATTTTATTGATATTTTCGTAGGACTTGAAGTCCAATGTGTTCTTTTCCATATTTTCAAGCTTCAGGCGAGGGAACTGTCACAACACTTCAGAAAAATATCTGCGGCAATATGCTTGTGCAACTTAGGGTACGACAAATTTGAGATTCCCTTGAAGGTGTGATTGATCCTCGGAGACTAGTTGATCTAATGAAGACATTCTCTCTATTCTTAGATAGAGTGACTGTCCTCAGAAAAAGATTGGATGATCGAGAATTTAAAACGCAGATGAAGACTGGTCAGTGTCTGTGAAGGGCATTGTCAAGTGGGAGAAAAGTCCAGTTAGCGTAGCCTGTTCCAGCGAGTCACGTCGCTCACTCCAATTCCACTCGACCGGGACCATGACTGCTGTACGCTTGAGGCGGAATCAAATCAGCGATCTCGGAGGCTTTGTACTGACTTAGCCTTCGAAGCCAGACAGTACCAGTAAGGTGCGATAAGATTTGACTTTGAAGCACAAGAACTCGCGCGACGCTGTTCCTTGGGAATGTCAAAAAGCCAAGATACAGAGAACAGGTTGAAAATATAAAACAATGGCAAGAATTTCTTTGACTCGCCCAGCTACACAAAAAACGCAAAACATGGGGGATAACCATCTGAAAGTCGACCGCAGCAGCGGCAGCGGCAGCGGATTCAGAACCCACTGATCTTAACTTAACTTGTCATGTCAACGAAGTGGAGAGGATAAATCTCCCGGATTCGAGGTGCTGCGTGCCCAGGTTAAAGCTGGCCGGCACGCTGGCTGGAACGGGGCCGGGGCTGGGGTGTGCTATACTTCTCTTGCAAAACAGCTCCGAATCTCTACCTATAGGCTGCGGGATTTTGATCTGCGCCCGATGGTTGATAATATCTTTGGCCCGATCGATCACGCGGCCTCAGATACTTTCCGGGGATCTCACGGACGAGCTGAAACTCAGTTCTCAAAAGGCCTCCAAAAGCACTCCCAGTATTATCGGGGCCGGATGTAGATAGATATTTGTATAGTTCACCTCCCGGGCTATCCAACTAATCTCACGTGGCGAGATCTGTGTTGAGGCCATCGTTTGATCATGACGCTCCCCGCACTCGCCCACTTTCCATGCCATCGCTGACAACCAGTCATGGCGTGTGAATATTCATGACATTAGAGTATCCAACTCCTTTCCTTTGTATGGGATCGCACAGCATTGCCCTCACTGCCCATGCCATGCCATGGATGCACCCTCCCGGTCCCTGAGCCTGAGTTCAGCATCTGAGCTTGTTGCCAAATCTCCTTACACGGTAACACCTCGCACCAACCGCTCGACCATACATGCACCGCGTGGACCAGTCGATCGACCAGATCTGGACCTACTTAGCACGTGAGTGAGTCGACCGCCACACCTGCACTCCTGTACTCCGCGCTGGTTGCGATCCAGGTGCTAAAACCGGAGAGCAGATGATGTCGAGCAAGATGCGACGGTCATGCCTCATTTGAGAGCTTCTCTCCCCGTCAATACTTGAACGACGGACCCTTGCTTACTCCAGACCGTGCTCGAGCTCATAGCTCGCATCGAGAGGACCGAGATCCGACGAATCTCACGCGCGCCGAACAATAACGAAATCTCCGTCCTCTAATCATTTTCATGACATTGCACTCACCGGTCTAAATTTTGTGTGGCCTTTCTTGTACTGCGGCACAAGCGCGTACTTCAGTGTAGGTTCATTGATATGGTGCTCACATGACATCCTTCATTCAATTCAACTGAAACACTCCCACGGAACGACTCGTGGTTCTGGGCTTCGACAAATCTGAACCGCCAGTTGTAAACCCAGAAGCGGACGCCTTGAGCTGACATTGGAATCGTAGCTTATTTTTAGGAGGAACATTCGCGTGAGCGCGCACGAGTTATGGAGCTAAAAGCCTGTATTGCAATACAGCTGAGCAAACCCTGCTCATGGTCGGTCTTCAGAGAAAACGTCGTTGCATCTCTTGTGGCATCCACTGGCAATAGTACTCGTCTTCCGGAATTTTCTGATCCTTTGGTTACTCGTCAATCTTGACGAGTAATGACGGATGAATTAGCTAATCAAGCAGCGAAATCCCAAGCTCGTGAAGATACTGAGTCTTATCGAAGCTTAGCTCAATGAGAAGCCGTGAGAAGGCCTTGGAAAAGTTCACCTCCGATTGTCAACACAGCTTTTCACCATGAGACTTGCGATATTACGATGGCATCGCATGCTTCGTGCTCAACAGTTTACGCACCAATTCCAAGGCGCAGCATTATCGTCAATAGAGCTGTTGCAATTGCCGCCTTCTAAGCCATTGTACCCGAAGCACCCGAAGAGCGATCGAACTGAAGAGACGAGAAACGAAGGCTGTTGGCCGCTCGGTCATGGATGAACAGGCGGCCTCAGCGTTCACTGCGCCATGTGTTGGCATAGCGCTGAAATCTTCATGTACTGTACCGTCCTGTATAGTGCATGTGAAGATCGCAGCTTCAGAGAGACAGTCAAACGAACCATTAGCATTGGCAAAGGCTATGGACTTCACACTGCACTCAGTTGCGCTATTCGAGCTTAGGCACCCTGTAGGTGGCTAGCCCTCACAACCAACCTCATGCTTGTACTGACGTACCAAAACTTCTGAAGTGTTAGCTAGGCAAGAGCTCGGCGCTGGACGATGAACTTTGGCCAAGTGCACAGTTGACTTCTGTGCCACTCTGCACTGGTGAAGGGTCGGTATCCTTCACCAGTCCTAGATTTGAGTGAGGGTCCAATCCAAGCCTTCGTTCTGTATGAAGACCGAAGACCGGCTAGGGAATAAGAAGAACGACTGTGTAAATCAGTACAGAATGGGATCCGATCGCGAACGAGAGCGTTCATGGAACAATCATGAAAAATGAATTGGGGAGTTGATAGTGCCGTTCGATCTGTGAAGTTGGGATCCCGACAAGATGATGTCCAAAGCGACAAGCCTGATTACGTAATCGTCCCTCGCTCCTGGAGAGTGGATATCTATCAAGCTGTGCAAGTACCTCTGTCTCTAATTTACATCTCTGGGAGAACCGGAAAACCAAGCAGAACTTTGAGATTGGGCTTGCTTGTCATAGTAGCGAATTTGGGAAGGATTGGCAGCTCGAATTTGGCAGCAAGCTGCGATTTAGCTCTGATGGAAACAAAATTGTGAAACCGTTGGGGAAAATGGATAAGCCCTCGCAGAGCCGATGTCTAGATACATTGAGTGGATGAGCAGTGGAGTGTGCGTTACATAATGTGTGATATGCAGCCCGCTTGCGAAAATGTCTAGCATTCGGAAATTGAAGTATCTCGGGATAATGTAGAGCATAGAAGCAGGAGTGGGAACCACGTTCATTCACGATGGAATCTGATCAACATCGCCCATTCCAATGAACCGGGAAAAGATTTCGTCACAGATGTCGAGTCGTCAGGTCTTCATGCATGTGGATCCAGCAGTATGCATGCACACAAATTCACCGTTTTACTGGATCAATCGGGGGTGGGGTGTGAATGTGCACACTTTTCAGGACAATAACGCAGCAGACAAGAGCTCATGCACATACAGGTCTCAACGCAAAATGTCCATTTGGATCGGATGAAGGGCAGGTGTGCCTTGTACATGTGCCCAAATATCGGAACCATCACTCCAGGAGACACACGTAGATGGACCCAGGTCGAAGATGAATCCCTGTGAATTTCGCCTGTGGATCAAGTGAGTCAAGTGAGTCAAGTGACGTGTACAAACCCACTCAGAGGCTCGGAACAATCATTGGTAGCAGCCAAACATTAATGTGTGTGCGTGTGCTCGAGGGTTTCGAGGCAGGTCATAAGTTTTGTGCCGGAGAGGCCTAAAAGCATTTCTGATGTTCCACGTGAATGCATCGACGGAATATAATCCAGCAACAGTCCCAAGCGGCTTTTATTAGTGGTAGTTGACACCACCACACTCAAGGTAGAAGGGCTAGGCTATGGCGTACGTACATAGCCGTGCAGAGCATGAGAGGACCTCAAAACTGGGCTACTGACGATGATCCATCGACTGAATAATGCCTTCAGCCGAGAGAGAGACTAGAGAGAGAGAGAGAGAGAGAGAGAGAGACGCGAAGCCCGGCTACATCTAGAAAAGTGTACAGAGCAGGGCAGAAAGCCATCTTTCGTTCTGTCGTTCGGTCCTAGGGGTTCTATCTGAAACTGCATGCTACAATCCTAATCCTACTCCTGCGCTACAAAAGAGAAAAGAGGATCTACATCTAGGCACCAGTCTCTGCATGCGCCTGGACCACAGTCGCGATTCATGTCTGCGAGCCCGAGGGCCACCGGGTGACATGGGGATTACGTGCGCATGGGCACGAGGGATCGGATCAGCTTTTGCCCTCGCAAGCAAGAGTCGCCGGATTCCACATGTACGGGACGAGAAACTTCCACCGCTTAAACCCTTTCACGTTGTAGCTGGCGCCCGTCATGGCGTCGACCAGCACGCGGCCGGGGTTGCCCGCGTACGCGCCCGCGCCGAAGGCCCCCGTGCAGGCGCCCGCGGCCTCCAGCGCCACGGACTGGTCGCCCTGGTAGTACCCGCTGCCGAACGGGTTGGTGGCCGCGCCCGCCAGCAGCTTGGCCAGCGTGATGACCATGCCGTCCACGCCCACGCCGTTGGGCGCTTTCAGCACCGGGCCCGGCGTCTTGCCCAGCATGGCCGACTGCGCGAAGGGCCAGGCGCAGAAGCCCGGGCACTGTGACGCCGCGTTGCCCACCCACGCGAACGGCAGCATGTGGTCGCCCGTGGCCGGCGTCGGGAATGTGAAGCTGTGCTGCCCGCAGCGCTCCGAGCAGAAGCCCTCCACCGTCACGTCGGCCGCCGTGAGCACCAGGTAGATGGCCCGCGGGTCGGTGGGGAACGCGCCGTCGCGCACGCCCTCCACCACCAGGTCGTAGATGTCGGCCTTCGTCAGGCTCTTGCCCTTGGCGCAGGCCTCGTCGCTGCGCTCCTTCGCCAGCTCGAGCTTCTGCGCCACCGCTGCGCCGAACATGTCCGTGTACCCGCGCGTCAGCGCCCACCACCGCGCCACGGTCGGCACGGGCGCCTCCGCGCCCTTCTTCTCCCGCCCGGCCTTCCGCGGCCCCGGCGCGGCCGCCGGCGCCATCGAGGCGAGAAACGCGCGGATGGTGGCCTTCTCATAGCGCGAGAACTGCCCGTAGAACGTCAGGTACACTTTGATCGGCTCCTCGCCCGACAGCAGCGGCCCGTTGTGATAGTTGAGGATCAGCGGCGGCCCGCGGAACAATCTCCCCTCGGTCGCCGGGATGATCATGGCGCCCCATATCACACAACATGCCAATGCCGCGCCCGCGATGGACATTCTTTGCCCCTTGCGTCCTTTCTTGGCTCAGCACTCGATCGTGCCTTCAAGCTCGTCCTTCTTCGGGTGTCGGAGGATGGTGACTGCTTGCGATCGGCTCCAATGTCTCCTCCCTCGCTCCTTCTGGATTCAAAGATCGCTTGCTGCGGTCCTCAATCACAAATATATCTATACACTTGTTGTATGTACCTTCTTCACAGTCTCAGATTCATGCGGCCGAGAAAACTAATTCTCGTCGCGTCGACTTCAAATCGTGCAAGACAAAGAATAAATAATCGGCCAGCTATACAGCTGAAGGGGAGGAGGGTATTTGAATGTACAAGAAAGGAGTTATGTCTCCATGCAAGACGCGGAACGTAGTGAAGTCTTTACGACATCTCAGAAGAAGATTATCGACGGGAAGAGGTGTCTTCGCAGGCCGAGGATGGCTGGCGAGCCCGTCGAGAAAATCGTGGAGGAAGAAGGAGAGGATTTGATTTGTTGTCTCGACAGGATCGTGTGCGACCCTTTTCACTTTCACCTCAGCAAGAGAAATTCGCGAGACGCGATCGGTCGCGGAAAGGAGATCAAAATATCTTTGGGGAAGGCAGAAAGCTCAGAGGAGATGATTCGGAAGAGGAGAAGGAAGACGAAGCAAGGCCAATGTCGTTCGACGCTTGATCGATCGCGTCTCGCCTCGAATTGAGGAAATCGAGAGCAGAAGAGACGAGAGGAGAAGAGAGGAAAGGAGGTGCTGCACTCCGCAGACGGTGCAAGAGGTCTTAAGTAAGGGGGAAAGGAGAGGGAAGGATAGAAGAAATCAAAATCTGTTCGCTGCAGAACAGAATTCTAGTAAATGGAGCGGATGGAAGCGCGTAGAAAGGCACTGCTGTCGATGACAAGTTACGCTGAACAGAACAGAACAGAACTGCTCTCGAGCAGTTCAAAGAATGATCAAGGCTCCAGCTGTAGCGACGAGGTGGGCAGCGAGCGAGCGAGCCAGCCTGCCTGCCTGCCCCCCAGCGCGCAAGAACCGAAAGCCAAGATAGTTGCCACCCCATCCCACCGCTTGGACGTTTGTTCGTTCGTTCGTTCGTTTCGGCCATGGGAGTGTGGGTTTTGCTCTTCCGCAAAACAACGATTGTTTCGTTGTTTTGTCCAATTCAACCCTTCGAACGCTCGAGAAACCGGACGACCAAAACCCCTCCCTCGCCCTCCACTTCGACCCACCAGAAGACGCGCCCTGCAGCGCAAGGCCCTCTGGTCGGGACCTTTGGTCTGGTCTGTCTCTGTCTCCGTGTCGGGGTCTGCCACCGAGCGACCGTCCGTCGTCGACTGGACTCCACTCCCCTCGCCTCCCCTCATCTGCCGTCTGCCATCGTACGCGGTACATCCCGCATACGGTCCCCGGCAAATCATTTGAATGAATGCTCCTCCCCATCGCTGCAACGCCATTGACCGGTCTCCGCCACTCCTCTCTCTCCACGTGTGTTGACCGTAACCGCCACGTTTTTCTCTCATCTTCTCCTTCTTCTCCCGTCACGGTCAACTGCGTGACCTCGCCTCCTCTCTCTCGACTGCGTCGGATTTCCTCCGCTTCGCAATACTTCCTTGTCTTTTGTATTTCAGAACACCTCTCTTCCTACATGACTGCTTGTAAATGTTGCACCATCAACGAACACACTAATTCAACCTCGGAGCATGAATATGGTGGCATGAACATTGTTTGTCGAAAGACACTTTGCTTTGAACTTCAACATCTTATGAGTATGACTACTAGAAAAGACTACTCCGAACAGCAACGAAAACTTATCTCATCCATTGGTCCTGCTGACTTCATTGTTGAGTGATATCATAACATTGTCATGCATTGTCAATTTCCATTCAACTTCTATTTGTTTTAGCTCAAGCAAATGATTCTATTTAGAATTCCTGATATTTTCCAGCATCACTAATGCACATACTTTACGGCTTCACTCCATAGGAAGTCGAAAAGAACTCATTCTTAGCGATTAGTATCACGATCAGAATAGTTACAAGTAAATAGGAGAGACATGAAGCACTTGACTACTAGACTATCATCACACACAATAATCAAAATTGCGTTTATAATGGAGAGACCCCACCAAGCCATGCAAGGATCAAACCCAAAAAAATGGTTTGATCTAGGCTTCGACTAAATGATATAATATCCAGGATATTACAACTATCTATATCGTACAAGGTGAAACAAGATAGTCATATTTTGGACTTTTGCTCTAGTATAGATCAATGGATCAACGTTCTATGTGAAACAATAATCATACTGTAATAAAAATGTGATATTCACGCATTGGCTTCCATATACTCTCTCATCAACATTTGGCATTTATAGCTCCATATAAATAAATAAAAATAAAAAAACAAAGAGTCAACTTCTATGCATATCTCCATAGATGGAGAGTTTGAGTATCGTTCTTGCATTCTTTATCTATCCAAGAAGATTTATTCTTTCGAAATTGTCTTTGTAGCCACAACATACACAGCAATAACAGGGTTTCTAGAGAACTTCGTATCTCTCAAACCATGCATTTATCTTACCTCTTATGTCATGCATAGATAAAAATGACTTTGAAAGTTGTCTCCAAAAGTTCTAGAAGATAACCTGATAACTATTTTCAGACTAGATCAATATAACATGTAGAATCAACAAAGTAATCAATGAATAGTGTAATCTGAAATTTAATTTCTAATTATCCTGTTCAATGCAACTATATACTTAGTTTTCTAGCAAAACGCTGAAGATACATCAAACATTTTGTACCATACACATGTCTATGTGCCTCAGCTAATGAAGATGTAATCATAATAGACACAAAAGATTCAAACACAACTACTTCATCATATAATCAAAATTTCACAGCATTAAACAATTCCAAATGACTTGATTTATTTTAATTTCAAAATTATAGTGTGTCATGTATTTTTATATATACTAAATATAGCTATCAGGCCACGGTTTCTTTTCACGTAGGTAGATTCGAAGAACTGACGTTCTTCGAGTCGAGCCTATAGCATTGGACGAGTGAGTGTACTCAAGCGTCAACCTTGCTTCTCGAGACGAGTGGATTGGGCTCGACTTATGTATGTGTGACGGTTTTGTTACCATTGGGATAATCAAGATTGACATGTTTGCTGGTGGGAAAAAACACGTTAATTTCACTCGAAAAACTCGTTTTTGTGGCATTTTGCGATCTTCGATTGTTATAGTTTCAAGTTTTGGTTCTTTGCTGTTTGAATTCGTGCCGATTCTGCGAGAGTATTTTCAAGTCGGGAAGAGCGTGACGAGGACGTGTAACGCGCGGGTGCATGAGAGCTCGGGGGCAGGACAAAATTTCGAATTTTGAAATTCTGTCGGAATTCGACGTCAGTGTTTGAGTTCAGGGATTTTGTCAAATTTTCAATTTGATTTCGTCCATATACCTAGAGATTCGATGCCTCTGCGGGTTTCACAGAGGAGGTCTTGGAGAAAACAGAACTATAGACGTAGAAGTACTTACTATAGGCACGTAGGCTTTATATCTAGTTGTGGTACATTTGAGTGTATACGCTCTCGTGTCCTATGTGTGTGTATGTGAGTATCATGTTAGCGATGTAGAATGTATGGCAATATATATTCGCACGACAAATTCTATATTCTTTAAATTTTTAATCATCATATTTTAAACTTCATATTAGTATGAATAAGTCAAACTTTTCTAAGAAAATACAAAAAGTAAAATTTTTAGATGTATTAATAAAAATGCAGAAATAATTAAAAATAATCACATAATATATATTATGAACCATTTATATAGAAAAAAATTTGATAATTATGATTTATGAGTTTATTTAGGTCTCTTAGATTAAATATGTATGTGCAAAAATAATCAATTATCTAAAATCTTTTACCAAAAAGTTGAAATAGAACAAGTTTTAGTCTTCAAAATTTCAAAATTTTTGAATTAAAATCAATCAAAAATGAAAAATAAATTATTCAAATCAAAATAGAGAAAAAAAATTAAAAAATTTTTTTATTTTATTTTTAAATATTTAGAATCTAAAATATTTTTAAAATTTAGAATCTAAAAACCTAAAAACTTGATTTCTAATAAAAAAAATTATAGTTATTTGAAGTCATAATGCTAATGATATATCAGTAGTCTTCACAAATTCTTGTATAGAGTTATAGCAAATAGTTTAATAACTTCATACAAACTAACTAAAATATTTACAATGTGATTTGATTGTTGACATTCTTCTCTTAATTCATTTGTTGTCAAATTTTTTTTATCTTTAGCCTACTATGTGAACATTTTAAAATTAAATAAATTTAAAAAATAGTTTTTCATCCAATTAATGTTGAGGGTAACTCGTGTTACGGAGTAACCTCGGTTCCTAGCTAAAGATAGCTAGGAGGATCGCCGGAGCTCAGGTATTTGCTATCAAGTTTTCTTTTTTGTATTACTATGACTTTTAGTACACTCTCATGCTTGTGAACATTCTCGTTGTGAACGTAGTACTCTAAAGGATGAACCATGTTACACTTTACGTCCATCTTGCTTTCTTGACTTGTTGTGTTGTGTTGTTACTTTTGCTGTCACTTGTGAATTATTGACATTAATTGGTATCAGAGTTAATGGTGCATGTTTTTGTTTGTGACATTGAGATCATTAAGTTGAGCTTGACGCAAAGACAGTGTGCTTGTTTTATCTTATGGAGATTGTTAAGAGACGGATCAGGTTGAAGTTTGTGTAGAAATGTGATTCTAGAAGATGAGCAAATTGCTCGTGAGAAAATGAAGAGATCACTATTTGTAGAGCTAAAGATTTGTAGTCTCCTCTAATTGTTGTGCATATGTTCCAAATCCAATGAAAAGCTTTGTGCATACAACTGCAGCCAAGGCTTGAGGAGGCATCTGGACTCAATGCAACAAATGATGAAGGTTTCAAACTCAAGCACGTAGACATCTTTAGGCACCATATCTACTGAAGTGACCCACATCACTCTCAAACGTCAACCTCGGTTGTGTAGAGTGCAGCTTTTTCAAATATTTGTAAATACTTTGACTTATACTCCCAACAACTTTGGTGAGAAAATCTATAAGGCTTCAGTGTATTGTATCAAAGATCAGATTGTTTCTAAACAATGGCAATAACAAAGATTTTATGATATCTGTATGATCTAAGCCCACACTTGCGAACATTCCAACAAATTCAAGCAATTTAGGGGATTGCAATAAAATCTTTCGAGGCAAAAAGTGACAGAATTCATTGAGGTCAGATCAAAGCACAGTGACGACGAACTTGAATGAGTAATTTGCGAGTTGGAAATTCACGCGTAGGCAACTTGACACTGCACGACAAGCGTGCAATCGGACGCGCATGAGCAAGCGTTCAATAGATTCAACAGATTCGACAAAAATCCATTGAATTCTTGACAAATTTTTTATCGCTCGAAGACAATGACGCATGAACATTAGCATGATCTGACGCGCACGATCGCACGCAGCAAAACGATGGTCAAACGCAACAGTTGTATACACTGCCAGGAGTGCGGGACAACTAAGGCGAGCGATGCGGTGATCCTTCTCCTCAAGGCGACACATGGCACCACATTTGGTACTAGCAATTTGCACGTGCAAACATGCGGCGGGTAGATGATGCTCGGGAAAACACAACAGGGTGAGATGTGACGAGCTGGTTGGAGAGTTTTGAACATTCTCAAGCAAGATCGGGCAAACGTGATCGGCTTCCAAAAACATTCAACTTAAATATTCCATCCGTTTGGCAGATTTTTTTAAAAAATATTCTATTCAAACAAATATGCATCAAACAAAATCTTTGTCAAAATATAGGCAAATTGTGTATCATCAAAAAATTCTTGACACGAATAGTGCATCTTGACATTTTTCAAGAACTAACAGATGATCCACAAGGAGAAAATTGCTACAAAAGCTACCATTGTTTCTAATTTTTGTTGGACGTTAATCCCATCAAGAAAGATTAGAGTCTCAAAGTATAACATTGTACCCTTTGATGGACAAGGTGATTATCTCCTTTGGGATTAGCATGTAAAAGAGATTTAACAACTATGTATCTTGTTATGTTGTTGAGAGAAATCTATTAACGTCAGGGATATCAAATAGAAAAATTCACAAATATATGAATATCATACACTATTAATGATAATCCTCCAAGATATCACTTACAACGAGGTTGTAAGTGTTTTTTGGTAGACGAAGTTGAACAAGAGATGTCATCATCTTGCCCATACACTTCCAGGATGGCACCAATTGTGACCAGAGATTAGTCATGTTTGAGGGGAAATAACAGTTGGCGGATTGTTGAATCTAAGATGACAATATTATTGTGCATGAATCCGTCTCATGAGAGGAAGACGATGGTTTGTTTGAAGTGTGGAAAGAGTGGCCACATCAAGAAAGAGTATCATAAAATGGCCAAAGCCACAGTTCTTACTCTATTCGTAATGATGCAAAGAACTTTGAACCCGAGAACAATCTTCTAGATGACAATCTATGACTTCAGAGGGCGTACATGTTATGGAATCTAGTAGTACATGTTACGTACATGTTATGGAATCCTAACGTATAAATTAATTTGAATGAACTCCCACGAACTTCCGGCCTTCCTGCCCCTCCCTAAA